AAAAAAGAATAAAAATTGAGTTGTCTTTTTATTAGTAAGTTCTTTAAATATCCTGAATAATGGTCTTTTGTCAAATATATACTTTACAAATACTTTTTTTCCTGATCTGTAGTTTGCTTGATTTCTTAATTTCTCTTTGGATAAGAAGTTTTAAATTTTGTTGAAGTCTAATTTATCAGTTTTTCCTTAAAAGTGTTGCTTTCTGTTCCTAAGAAATCTTTGCCTATTGCCAAGTCACCAAGCTATTCTCCTTTGTTTTCTTCTGAAGGCCTCACTGTTTCAGATTTTATAATTAACTCTATGATCCATTTTGGATGAATTTTTGTATATCCTGTGAGGGGTCAACTTTCATTTTCCATATGGATATCAGTTGTTCTAGTACCATCTGTTGAAAGCCTCCTTTCTCCACAAGGTTCCTTTGGCATCCGTGTTGAAAATCAAATGACCATTTAAGTGGGCACCTACTTCTGTGCTCTCTATTTTGTTGCACTGATGTGGGCGTTGATCTTTATTCTGTACCATATTGTCTCAATAGCTGTAGCTTTATGGTAAGTCTTGAAATCACTGGTGAACCCAACTTCAGTCTTTTTTTTTGTAAGATAACTTTAGATATTCTAGAGTCTTTGCATTTCCATATAAATTTTATAATTTATCAATTTCTACCTAAAAAGTCTACTGGTATTATGATTGGGATCGACATCTTGCCAATTCTCTTCCATCCATCTCTTCCCATCCAGAAACATTGTATATCTATACATTTACTTAGCTATTCTTTAATTTTTACCAAAAATATTTTGTAGTTTTTAGCATACATGTTTTGCATATATTTTGTTAAATGTTTTCATAAGTATTTTATGTATGTTGATGTTATAGTAAATGGAAGTTAAAAATTTTATTTTTCAATTGTTTGCTGCTAATATAAAAAATACAATTGATTTTTATATAATAATCTTGTATGCCGTGACCTTGCTAAATTATCTTATTAGTTCTAATAGTTGAAGATACCTTAGGCTTTTCTAAATAAATAATCATATCATTTCCAAATAGACTGTTTTCTTTCTTCTTTTCTAATCTTTATGCCTTTTATTTTTCTTGATTTTTGCACAAGATATACTATATATATAATATATATATAAATATATAATACAACATTAAAAAGTGTTGAATTTCTTAAAAAAATCATGAATGAGAGTTGAATTTTGTCAAATGTCTTTTCTGTATCTACTGAAAAGTATTTTTTTTAAGTACATATTAAAAACCTGTCCAGACAAAGCACCAACTCAAACAAATTTAGGAAATAGTTTTTACTCATTCAATCTATCCCCTACCCACAACCACCCACCATTACCATAGTGCCATGTGGCTTTTGCACAAGACCACTGTCTGGCTAGGAAGTGACCGAGACTGGGCTCAGACACAAACCTTCTGACTTTACAGCTCCTTTTCTTTCACCAGTACCATGGTGCTCTTAGACTAGTTGAACAGAAGAATTCTTGAGACTATGCTTTTAGTTTTTTTCCTCTTTATTTTTATGGATAAAATGCAACATACATATTATACTTAACAATGAAAGCCGATGGGACAAAAGAATCAATACTAACTTTTGAGACAGGAGATAACATAAAACATGGCATTTTTCATGACATTACAAGACTTTCCAATCAAATCACTTAGTTTTAGAAAATAGTTGGAAAATGCCTGAAAGATATTCTTTTTAAATTAAGAGGGGTGTGTGTGTAAAACTGTTGGCAATGCTTGAAAAATTTTAATCTATGTCATATTATTTTTCATTAAGTGACATATTTATGGAAAAGAGTTGAAAATGCTTGTCAGAAACTAGGAATTATTCAATCCTATAATATATATTCTCTTCAGGCATGTAATACATTTGTGAAAAACAGCTGAAATATGCTTGATAGAAAGAAGGGACATTTTAATCTCATGTTACTTTCTAGTCAAGTACACTACAGAAAAGCAGTTGAAAAATGCCTGAGAGAAGAGATGAACAGTAATTCCTCCACTTGAAAACCTGCATCTCCACATGGTAAACACACAAGACAATGACTAAAGGACAGGAATTCTCTTAGGGTATACCACAGATCACAGGTACAGAGTATTTTTGGCTTTAAAGCTTTTGCTAAAAATATTTTACATCATTAAATGTATATTATTAAATGTACATTGAAAGCTAAATGGAGTGACTTAAATAATAAGACTCAGGGACAGTTTGTAACAAAAATTGTTAAAGTCCATTAATTTTTTCCCCAAGAAAGGCAAGTGAGGTAGTTTATACTGTATATACATTGTAAAGAAATTAATATTCCAGTTTTGAAGATCATTGACTCCAAAAGTCATATCCCCAAGTGAGCTGCTTAACAAAGGGATCCTCTTTTGCAGAATGGAGAAAAAAAATGAGCCAGTTCCAGGGTTTTTTTCCTGAATAAATGTTCCTAAAATGTGAACTTTCTCTAATGCTTTCCTGGATATTATTTTCCTAACTGTACACCAAGAACACTTTGGGAAGAGGTGAGGCGGGAAGCTATTAAGAATAGAATTTAGAAGCCCAGTATCTGACTCTTTTTTTGTTTGCAAATATACTGTTCATTTTTACTGATTACTGTAACTATTTTAAAACAACTCTTGCTAAGGCAAAGATAGTTTTTTCAATACTTAGTTGACAGGTATTTGTGAATTTTAATTGTAGGGGTTTGTTTTTTCTTTACCAATGAAATTAGTAAAAAGAATCTCTTTACACAAAAATTAGTCTGTGTGTCTACTGAACATTCTTCTCTAATCAATTAGTTGACTCTATGACTAAGAATAAAAGTAATATCCGATATACCGGTATTGACATGGCCTTCCATACTGTGTAGTAATTGGAAAGTTGTCATACATCCTTGAATACATTGCAGTGGTTAATTTAAAGTTATTAATTCAGCTAAGTTTTTGACATCTAAAACCACAAAGTGGATAAGAAATTCAGAAACTTATTTTTACTTGTCACCTGTTAGACATTTGTTTAAAACTAATGACAAGTGGAGCAAATCTTAAAACATGTGGAACTCATGTACACGTTCTACACACAAGAAATGAGAGTGCCTGAATAAAATATTAAATGCACAGATCTGTGAGTTTCCTATAGAAACACAATAGAATTTAACTATCTAAATGAGAGGAAATACAATGACAAAAATCAGTCGTTGTTTTCATACATACATAGAAGTGTAAGGCAGCTAATTTGAAGAATTTCTTCCATGTGTGTAGGCATAAATTATTGCCATCTTATGTCCTGGAACTTAGCAACTACATAACATAAAATGTTTACTCCTATTGTTCGAATTGCAAAAAGGATAAAAGCCTTTTTTTTTCAGACTCTTGAAAGTCATTATGTAAACTCATGTGCCATCAATTAGCCATATATTGAAAACTAATGAAATGTAGGAATAAATATAAACCTTAGAGCACATATTTATCTTCTAAAGGGTTTTCAGGCAAAGGAAATGAAAATTCTCAAATAAACAATAAAACAAATGGATATCTGAATTTTCTGTAAAAATATAACAAAATTCTAATGGCCAGAAACACAATTATCTACATGTTGAATTTAAGTAGTGTTTTTATAGACATCAAGGCATAATGCAGAATACAAAATATTTCTTCTATATATGGGCTTAAATTATTATCTCATTATGTTTTCTGCACTTGTGAGCAACTCTGTCTATTGTTTGAATTGTCTGAATTGCAAAAGAGTCATTTGGGCATTAGATCTCATGAAAACTGATATAAATTCATCAAAATCTCAATCTGTGGATTCTAATCCAAAGCACACATGTGGGATAAATGAGACCTCTGTTCTCATTTCTAGCTAACCCTAGAAGGACTGTATCTGTAGTCTCAAGACAAAAGGCAGAGCCGTCTGACCCCTCAGCACATTTTAGATTTGCTTTCAATTAGAATTGCGGAGAACTGTGTGTTCTGGCCAATTGCAAGTCTGGAAAACGGTCCTCAAGATCTTGATAGTGATACAGTTTCCCACTTACCAAATATGCCTGATGCTAATCCACAGAGGTTAGCCACATCTATGATTGATGAACAGAAACAAAATCTGCTTTTATACCATGTAAAATCTGGATATAATAGTATTTTTCAGCACTCTTGGATAAAGAGCAGTTGGATAAACGCAGTTCTGTATTTTTAAGTTGAGGCTGCAGAAGTAACTGTCTATAGTTGTGAAATATAAAAAATGATATGTTTGGTCAGGAAAGGAAATCTGTGCCCGGCACATGGAAACCTATTTCTTGAGCACCATAATCACGATGAGAAAATAGAGGCTCTGTGACTATTAACTACACAGAAGGTTACGAAAGCCTAAGAACGCCCTTTGTCAAACTAACCTTTGCTATGGGGACCTGTAATCATAAGAGAATAAGGTTTAAAAAATATCAATTTTCAATAATCCATGATGAGAAATGTTCGTTTGCACCAGAATGCTGATAGTCATAATACAGTACGACATACATAACAACACAGTGTTCTTTAAACAAAAGTTCCTCCTCCTCCAATTCAGGAGCGAGTCAGAGCATAAATACTGTATGTGTAACTTTAGAAACTGATTCCCTTTGGAAAGTAGAGTTGAATTATTTTGCAGGGCAGAAATTATTGATATTTCTGGCATTCTTGCTCAAAAAGGTTAATATATATATGTATATAACATAAGTATAAAAAAAGAGTCTTTTCCATCTCTTCCGTTTGGTAGCATTTGCTACATAAAGAAGTATTTCTTATCCCCAGGTATAGGACAAGTTCATTTCTGCTGTGAAGTCAAAGTACTACAAATGATTCAAGTTGACATCCCCTTTCTTTCACTCTTATCAGGGAACCATCCTGAGGAAACTTCAGCTCAAATGATCAACCCACTCCTCTTCCATACTTCATGCTGACAATGCTGGGAGACATCACTTGGGCCAAGAAACACCAAGAGAGTTATAGGAACAAACATGTCAAAAGCAGTCTTGTTTTTTTTCCCTACCAAATGTAGGATCTTGGCATATAATACATGATAGCTGCCATCTTGGGGGGTATTTCAAAAAATTGGTTGGGGTTTAATCACCCATTCTGCTTGAGGATTTACATGATATACATCCAATATATAAGCATCTGGATCCAAGCAATGCTGTCCTAAAGGAAAGAGAAAATCAGAGAATGTTTTCAAGAGCGCACACTTTTGTATATGTGTGTGCATTTGTGTGTGTGTGTGTGTGTGTATGTAAGGTTTGAACAAGGCCAATATAGTTCTCTCAGCCAAAAGTAAGTAGACACATTTTAAAGTTTCTTAGCAAAATTGGCCTTCCTACCTTCCTTCCTTTCTGACTGTGATGTCCTTCAAATAAATCCCATGTAGAAAAAACAGACATACCAACCACAGGCAAATTACTCGCTAGACTCACCAGATCAATTAGAAAAATATGGCAGGAACTTGTTTCAGGTATAAACTGATCATTTATATGATAAAACATGTCCTCTAATGGTTTTACAGACGGTAACTTGACCAGAACTAGAAAAGATTACAATCAAGTTTATTTTAGGAAGGGTTATTTCGTTTCTTTACTATGGATGCAAATGCCCATAGGCAGGACAGCTGGAAATGATAACAACCAAAAGATCATTCCAGGGGCAAATGCATTTGAAAATCTTATGTACCATGTGTTTGCAATGTATACTAAAGTCTCAACAAAACTACCAAGATTTGATTGCTTACTTGACTCATTCATTTATCAAATATTTCTTGAGAGTTACTATGTGCCAGGTACTATTGTAGGGGCTAGGGCTACAGCAATGCATCAGCCAGTCAAAAATACTTGCCCTCAGGGTGCTTACATTCTAAAAGTGGTAAAAGGCAACTAGCAAATAAGCAAGTATGATATAAAGTAAGTCTGATGGTGATAAGAACGTTAGAGAACAGCAAAGCAGGGAAGGCACATAGAGCGGGTATGATCCAGGGAGGTCTCATCGAGAAGGTGATATGGCGGCCAACACCTGAAAGAGGTGAGGGAGTGAGACATGAACAATGTGAAGGAGAGCATTCTGGGCAAAAGACCGAGCACATGCAAAGGCCCCAAGGCAAAATGTGCCTTGTGATTGGATATGCAAAGTTGGTGCTCAAGGGGAAGTCTGGATATAAATTCAAGAGACATCAGCATACGGGTAGAGTTAAAGCAAAGATGGATAGAGCTCACCAAGGAAGTTTCATGTAGAGAGAGGAGAGTTCCAAGGACTGAGCCCTCCAGCTCTCCAATGTTAAGAGGTTGAGAGGATAAGAAGGAACAGGCAAAAGAGACTCAGAAGGAGCAGCCAGTGAAGTGGGAGGAAAGCCAGAAGCTTAGGTTGTCCTTGAAACCAGGTGAAAAAAGTATTTTTTTCAAAGAAGGGAAAGATCAACTCAGGCAATTATAAAGAATGTTTTCAAGAGCGCACACTTTTGTGTATGTGTGTGCAGAATGGAGTACTGGATTTCACAACATAAGAGTTCTCTGGTGACCTCAACAAGAGAGCAATTTTGATGAAGTGTTGGGGGCAAAGCTTGACTAGAGTTGTTTCAAGAGAGAACAAGAGGAAGAAATTGGAGTATACACAACTGATTCAAGGAGTTTTTGCTGTAAAAAAGTACAGAGAAATGGGAGTGACTTGAAGGGGGTCAAGAGAGGGTTTTATAAAGATGAGAGAGAATTACCAAAATTTTTGTGCATGTAGAGGTGATGCAGTTGGGAGGGAAAAGCTGATGATGCAGCAGAGAATGGAGGAACGACTGGCTCAACACCCTAACTGGGCGGGAGGGGGCACAAAGTGAGGCATGGGCGGAGGAGCTGGCCGTAAACAGGAGCGCGGATATTTCCTCTGGGCTGTGAGGAGGGACAGAGATGCAAGCAGAGGGAATTTTCTTTTGATTCCTTTTCTCTCCCCTCGGAGAAACAGCGAGAATGAACTTGGGCTGAGAGTGAAACTAGGGAAGTTAAACAAAAAGGTTGTCACAATTCTGAAAGTTCCATGATGTTCTTTTCTTTGTTTTGCATGAATCTCCAGAATGAGACTTTCCAACTTTGAGTCACATTTAAAAGACCCAAAAGTTGATTTCATATCAACTAAAATATTCACATTTAAATTCTGAAAATATTTTAGGAAAGTCATACTGTTCTTACATGAGATTAAAAAAATCAGCAACTTAGTGATTTTTATATCTAAGAAAATTGTAAAATATACTTTTACAATAACAGTATTATATTTCTTCTAGAGTAATCAGAGAATTTAGGAGTAAAAATAGTTAAAGAATGCTTACCTATATTTCCTCCAATTTCATATAACCTTTGGTTCTGAATCTTAATGCACTCTGATGAACTGTGACTGAGAAGAGGAGAAAGCAATATATTTTAACCCTCTTTCACAATCTGAGGTGAATCTGTAAATTAAATAACCATGGCAACAAACAATTCATTTTGCCTTGAGTGAAATACACCCCACAAGTTATTATTATGAGTGAAATTATGATAAAAACAATTTTTTTTTCCTGTTTGACACAGCAAGCATCTGAGGCACAGAGAGGATGGGACTATTCCAGACCAAGGTGGATGCTGCCACGCTCTACAGCGACCCAGAGCTCATTCTATCCACAACTGTCAGCTCCATTTTAGGGAGAAAACTTACTGGCACATCAAGCTGTCCAAGGAGCAGCCGGGTGTTTAATATTGCTTTGTCATTGGTCACATTATCAGTTCAAAGGAAGTCAGGTTTCATTTCTATATTTGCCAAAAATTAACTGGGAGTCTCTCCTCAACCCATGTCACATTTCTAAGCTTGCCTAGCACTTTGCAAACTAACATTGACTTCATTGCATGTCTCTGCTCTATAATAAAAGCAAGTCAGAGAAAATAATTGCCCAATTTAATTTTTTCACCCCAGACCAGAATGCTGGGGTAGAAGAGTCTGGAAAGACCACACCATTGTTGATCTCCATCCCACTCAGGAATGACTTTCAGCTTGGTCACTTCAAAAAGATTGTCCTCAGCTCTCTATCGGAAGGAAGAAGGATGTGTGCCTTCTTTTCTTTTCTTTCTTTTTTTTGCTTAATTAAACTTTTTATTTGAGATAATTATAGATTTGCATGTAGTTGTAAGAAATTATACAGACAGATCCTGTACCCTTTACCCAGTTTCCCTTGACAGTAAAATCTTGCAAAACTCTAGTGCAATGTTACAACCAGAATGTTGACATTGATTCAGTCAAGATGCAGACATTTCCATCCCCATCAGATCCTTCTTGTTTCCCTTTTATAGCCACACCTCTTCCCTCTCCACGTCTCTCTCCATCCCTACCCTCATCCTCTATTCTACTTTTCTATGAACTGGTCATTTCAAAAATGTTATACAAATGGAAATATACAGTATAGAACTTTTTTTGGTATTGGCTTTCTTTCAGTCAGCATAAATCCATGGAGAGTCACCCAAGTTGTTGCATTTTTACTGCTGATTACCATACCATCCAGGGTATGGATGTACCAAAGTTTGTTTAGTCATTTACCTGTCGAAGAACATCTGGGTTTTTTCCAGCTTTTGACTATTATAGATAAAGCTGCTATAAGCCTTTGTGTACAGGTTTTTTGTGTGAACATAATCTTCATTCCTTTTGATAAATGCCCAGATGTGTGAAGCCTGAGTCACATGGTAGATGCACATTTAGTTTTATAGGAAACTGTCAAACAGTTTTACAGAGTGACTATACCATTTTACATTCCCACCAACAATGTATGAGTGATACAGTTTCTGTATCTTTGCTGGTGTTTGGTATTGTCACTATTTTTTATATTAAACCATCCCTATTGGTGGTTAATGATATGTCATTGTGGTTTTGCATTTCCCTAATGGTTAAAGATATTGACATCTTTTCATGTGCATATTTGTCATTTGTTTATCATCTTCTTGAAATGTCTATTCAAGTCTTTTGCTCATTTTCAAATCGGATTGTTTGTTCTTTTTACGGCTGAGTTTTGAGTGTTCTTTATATATTCTAGATACTAGTCCTTTGTTTGATATGTGGTTTGTAAATATTTCCTCTAAGTCTTTAGCTTGTCTTTTCATCCTTTTCACAGGGTTTTTCAGTGTAGACGTTTTCAATTTTGATGAAGTCGAATTTATCAACTTTTATCTTCTATGGATCATGCTTTTGATGTTGAGTCCAAGAACTCTTCACCAGCCCTACATCACAAAGGTTTTCTCCTATGCTATTTTCTAAAAGTTTTACATTTACATTTAAATCTGTGATCTATTTTGGGTTAATTTTTGTGTAAGATGTAAGGTTTAGATCTAGGTTCATTTTTTTTTTCTTTGCTGATGGATATCCAATTGCTACAGCACCATTTGTTGAGACAGCTATCTGTCCTCATTGAATTGTTTTTGTACTTTTATCAAAAATCAGTTACTAGGATAGTCAAATTCATAGAGACAGAAAGTACAACAGTGATTACTAGTGGCTAGGGGAGGGAGGAATGGGGAGTTACTGTTTAATGGCAATAGAGTTTCAGAATGGGATGATAAAAATGTTCTGGAGATGGTTGGTGGTGATGATTGCACAACAATGTGAATGTACGTAATGCCACTTAAAATTGTGAAAATGGTAAATTTTATGTTATGTATAATTTACAATAAAAATTTTTTAAAAATCAGTTGGGCATATTTCTGTGGTTCTGTTTCTGAGTTCTCTATCCTGTTCCATTGACCTAAATGTCTATCCCTCCACCAATACCCACACTGTCTTGATTACTATAGCTCTACAGTTGGCCTTAATATCTAGTAAAATGATCCTCCTACTTTATTCTTTTTTCAAGATTGTTTTAGCTATTCTAGGGCCTGTGCCTTTCCATACAAATTTTTAGAATAAGCTTGTACACGTTTACAAAATATCTTGCTGGGATTTTGATAGGAATTGCATTAAACCGATAGATCAAAGCAATATACTCAAAAACACCATAAATAAATCAAGACAGAATCCTAAAGGATAGGCCATATCTTGGGCCACAAAACAAATCTCAAAAAATTTAAAATAATTTTAATCATAAAGAATATCTTTTGTGACCATAAAGGAATCAAACTAGATGTCAGTAACAGAAAGACAACTTGAAAATATCCAAATACTTAAAAATTAAATCACACACTTCTAAATAATCCATGGTCAACGACAACGTCCTTAAAGAAAATTTGGAAAATATATAGAATGAAAATAAAACCACAACATCAAATTTTATTGGATGCAGCTAAGGCAGTGCTGAGGGAAAAATCTACAGCAGTAAATGCTCACATTAGAAAAGAAGAAAAGATCTCAAATCAATTATTTAAGTTCCTATCACCAGAAACTAGAAAAATAACAGTAAAATAAACACAAAGCAAGCAGAAAGAAGGAAAAGATCAAGATAAGAGCAGAAATTAATGACATCGAAAACAGGAAAATGAGAAGCTGGTTATTTTTAAAAAACAATAAAATTGATAAACTTCTAGAAAGACTGACAAAAATGAGAAGAGAGAAGATAGAAATCATCAACATCAAGAATAAAACAGGATATCACTGTATATAAGGTTTCCCTTAAAAGGATAATAAGGAGATACTATGAACAACTGTATGTTCAAAATCAAAAACTGCAAAGAAATGAACCAATTCCTCAAAACCACAAATTGCCAAAACACAACCAAGATGAAACAGTCATAGCCATTAAAGAAATTGAATCAGTACTTTAAAAATTTCCCCAAAAAAAAAATTCTCCAAGCCCAGATGGTTTCACTGGAGAATTCTAGCAAACATTTAAAGAATTAACACCAATATAGCACAATCCTTTCCAGAAATTAGAAGAGGGACATTGCCAACTCATTTTATGAAGCTAGTATTGCCCTGATACCAAAACCAGACAACCAATACAAAAAACAAAACAAACTACAGAATAATATCCCTTATGAATTTAGATACAAAAATCCTCACAACGTATTAGCAAATCTAATCCAACATATATTAAAAGAATTATATACTATACCAAGTGGAATTTATTTCAGGTATGCACGGTTAGTTCACCATTCTACAATCAATGTAATCCACCATATCAATATAAGAAAAATCATATGATCATGTCAATTGCTACAGAAAAAGCATCTGACAAAATCCAACACCCATTCATGATAAAAACTCTCAGCAAACTAGGAAAGGAAAACTTCCTCAACTTGATAAAGATCATCCACAAAAACCTGCAGCTAACATCATACTTAATGATGAAAGACTGAATACTTTCCCTCCAAGATTAAAATTAAGGATGTCTACTTTCACAACTTTTTTTTGTGTGTGTGAGGAGAAAGCACTGTGCTAACATCTGCCAATCCTCCTCTTTTTTTTTTTTTTGCTGAGGAAGACTGACCCTGGGCTAACATCCGTGCCCATCTTCCTCCACTTTATATAGGATGCCGCCACAGCATGGCTTGCCAAGCAGCGTGTCGGGATGCGCCTGGGATCCGAACCAGCGAACCCTGGGCTGCAGCAGTGGAGCACAGGCACTTAACCACTTGCGCCACCAGGCCAGCCCCTATTTTCACAACTTTTGTTCAACATACTACTAGAAGATTAAGCCACTGCAGTAAAGCAAGGAAAAGAAGTAAAAGGCATACAGATTGTAAAGAAGGAAATAAAATCATCTCTATTTGCCGTCTCTACTTCTCACATTTGCCTTGTTTTTGATGACCTTGACAGTTTTGAGGATGGGACAGGTATTTTGCAGTGTTTCTCATTTGGGACTCATTTGATGTTTTTCTCATCTGGAGTTATGTGTTCTTGGGATGCGAACGACAGAGGTACATTGCCATTTTCATCATAGCTTTCAATATGACATCACTGTAGATGCTAACCTTGATCACCTGGCTGAGGCCCAATTTCTTGACTATAAAGTCGTTTTTTTTCCCTCTTTACATACTGTACTCTTTGGAAGGAAGTCACTATGCATAGACCACATTTAAGAAGTGGTGACCTTCCACCCTTTTTAAATGTGATTGTCTTAAGCATGTCCTCTATATACACTGAGCACCACATGAGATGGTGCTTCAGTCATCAAATACGATTTAAGAAATGCATGAGGAGTGGGGCAATCTACTATATTTACTCCTATTTTTACCCATTCTGATGTTTTCCTTTCCTTTCTGATGCTCGAAGCCTTCTGTTATCATTTCCTTTCTGTTTAGAGAACTTCCTTTAGCCAGTCTTTATGCATAGGTTTGCTAGCAACAAAATCTTAGTTTCCGTCATTCAAGAATGTCTTCATTTCCTCTAGAAGGATATTTTTGCTAGATATCGAGTTCGTGCTTGAAGTTCTTTTCTTTCAGTACTTGAAAAACGTTACGCCACTTTCTTCTGGCCTCCCATGGTTTCAGATGAGAAATCCACTGTAATTTGAATTGCTGTTCCCTACAGGAAATGCATTGCTTCTCTCTGGATGCTTCCAAAGTTTCTTGTCTTTAATTTTCACCAGTTTAATTATGATGTTTTGGCATGGGTTTCTTTGGGTTGTCTTATTTGGGTTCACTTAGCTTCTTGAATATGTAGGTTTATGCCTTTTGCTAATTTGGGAAGTTTTCAGTCCTTATTTATTCAAATACTTTTTCAGTCTCACTGTTTTCTCTCCTTTTGGCACTCCAATGATACAAATGTTAGCTCTCTTGTTACAGTCCCATGAATCCATGGGGATGTATTTATTTTTACTTTTTGGTCTATTTTCCTTCTGCTGTTCAGAATAAATAATGCTATTGATATGTCCTCATGTTTACTGATTATATCATCTATCATCTCCACTCTACTATTGAGCCCATCCAGTGAGTTTTTTATCTCAGTTATCTATCTTTCAGTTCTATAATTTCCATTTGGTTTTTTTTTATAACTTCGACTTCTTTGCTGAGATTTTCTATTTTTTCATTTGTTTCAAGAGAATTTGTAACTGCTCGTTGAAGCATTTCTTATGACGGCTCCTGTAAAATCTTTGTCCGATAATTCCAACATCTGATTCAGTTGGGTGCTGGCATCGGTTGATTGTCTTTTCTCCTTCCTGTTGTGATTCTCCTGGTTTTAGGAATAATGAGTTTTGTGTCATATAGTGGATATCTGGATATTACATTATGAGACTCTGGATCTGATTTACCTTCATTTTTTGGCAGGCAGTCCTCCTGTTGAGGTTAGCAACAAGTGGGTGTGTATGTTCAGCTTTTCACTGGGCCCCACTGACACCTACCTGTCCAGTGAAAGTGGGACACCAACCGGCTCTGCCTCATTGCCTCCAGTGTTACTTGCTGGGCTCTGCTGCCACTCTTTCCTCGATCCTTTGGCTAGGGGAACACACTTTTCTTGGAGCTTTTATTTGGCTGTGCCTGTGCCAGGTTGGAGGTTTCTGCGGCATCCTGCCTGGGATGTACGGGCGGAGATAAGGAAACCCAGACACTCACCACCCGTGTCCTTTCACAAGGCCCAGCGTCCCCAGGCAGTGAGCACTCTTCCTTCTACCTTTCAGAGCCTTTGTATGCTTGTTGTTGTGTTGTGTCTAGGGTTTTTTAGCTGTAAGAGGGAGGATCTGGGAGCAACAGGACTCCTCTCCTCCTTTTTTACTTAAACACAGGAGGTGTTGAGCAGTCAGTCAGAAAATAAGCCTCCGGTGAATATGCAAAAATGGGCCAGCTTACAACTTTTACAGCGAAATAGCCCACAGTTATAATAGTGGAGAGAATGGCTAGGATAAGATCTTTAGAGAAGAAGTTGGTACAAAGGATTTGAGTCTATCTGCAGTCATTGACTCTACTTTATTTTTATTAGAAACATTTTCTTTCTACGAAAGGTCTACATGAGAGTACAGAGACAGTTTTGTAACACATATAATTAGGAATCTGTTGGATGCCCAAATCCCTCCAATGGAATTTTCAGTTTCTGTATTACTGCTACGTGGTAACTATTTACAGTATCTCAGGTCTCGGGGCCAGTAGCAGAGAGGAAAATACTCGGGGCTCCTGTTGGCCTCTGTCTACTCTTCTTATCTTTTTTATGTTAGTGTGTACATATATATATATGTATTTATGTGTGTGTGTACATATGTCGTCTGTGTGTGTATACATATCATACATAAAGTGCACACATCATAAATATACGACTTGAAGAATTTTCACAAAGTGAACCCACCATGTAACCAGCCCCATATCTAAAAAAGGAATTCTTAGAAGCCACTGTCTTGCCTTCTAGACACTATTCCTTCCTCTCTCACAGAACACCACCATCCTGGCCTCTAACACCATGGATTACTTTTATTGGCTACTCCTGTTTTTCTTTTAATTGAAATTTTTCTTGAGATAATTACAGACTCACATGTAGTTGTAAGACGTAATACAGAGAGATCTTTGCCCGTTTCTCCCCAATGGTAACATGGTAACATTTTGCAAATCTACAGTATGATGTCACAATCCGGATATTGACATTGATACAATCCATGCATCTTACTCAGATTTCCCATTTTGCTTGCAATCATTTGTGTATGTGTATTGAGTTCACTACAGTTTTACAGAGGCTTGTTTATCCACCACCACAGTCATGATTCTGACTGGTTCCAATACCACAAGGGTCCTTCATGTCACCCTTTTATAACCACATCCATCTCCTCCCCAATGATCACCCTTCCCCAACCTCTGGCATTTCCTAATCTATCCTCCACTTCTAAAATTTTGTCATTTCAAAAATGTTACATAAATGCAATATTGCAGTATGCAACCTTTTGCAATTGGCTATTTTTGCTCAACATAGCTACTCCTTTTTTTTTTTGGTGAGGAAGATTAGCCCTGAGCTAGTATCTGTTGCCAATCCTCCTCTTTTTCCTGAGGAAGACTGGCCATGAGCTAACAGCTGTGCCCATCTCCCTCCATCTTCTTTTATATGTGGGACGCCGCTACAGCATGGCTTGGTAAGTGGTGTGTAGGTCTGTGCCAGATCCCTGTGCCAGGGATCTGAACCTGCGAACCCTAGGCCGCTGAAGTGGAGTGCGCTAACCCAACCACTATGCCACCAGCCCAGCCCCACAGCTCCTCCTTTTTATTATCATTGAAAAGCTTCTTTTAAAGGATATTCTCAGTTTTACTAGAAACCATTAAACTGTAGCTGCTCTCTAATGGGTAAATTTAAACCAGTGCTTCTCAAATTTTAAAAAGCTCAGGGTAAATGTTTATCCTTGAATAAGCAAGCCGAGACAAAAATTATCATCATTTATGCTCTTTTAAGGTGACTTCTGGCAGATATGCAAAAATATTTTTTGTAAATATCATTCTGATCATAAGGTTTGTTGGTAGTATGTTTTAAGGAAAGCAACAGCTATGATGTTCCCTTAACTACATAAACTCTACCTGATACAGGCATGTTAAAGCCCAGTCAAGCCTGGAATAATGATATTCCTGGACATTTATCAAGATGATAGGTACAAAACTAATTTGCTATATATTTTTTCCTAACAAAAAGTAAAACTCATTGAGTAAATGAAGCCACTAAGAATCCCAATCGTAGAAATTCCTTAAAAAAAAAAATAACACTTTTGTTATTGACAATTCTTTTGTTAACTTAACTTCTTTTTCTGCTTTTGATTCTTCATTTACCGGTCAAGTCCCTAAAGTAACAGGTTCTAATTTTTCAAAAAGTCCAAATTTGTAAATGCCTGGAAATTTACTCACCAGATAAAGGTTCATCTTCCTCATACAGAGACCTATATTCACTTAAACTCACCTGTTCTCATATTGAAATTTTGCGAGTATGTCTTTGGCTTTGGTTTGACTATTGAGTTGAATGGCCATCGACACCTTCGAGAGAAGTGGAGCATGGACCCTTATGACTCCTTCCGGCACATCAGACTGCCAATGAAGAAAAATTCAGTACATTCTGTCAAACTGGGATGAATATCAGCTCAATGATTGCACTTAAGAGATGAAAATCAGTGGCACTCTGAGTGAGGAAATCATATAAACATGACCAGCATTTAACCAGAATGAAACACTGCTCTCTTTTTTTTTTTGGTAAGATCAGCCCTGAGCTAACAACCAATGTCAATCCTCCTCTCTTTTGCTGAGGAAGATTGGCCCTGGGCTAACATCTGTGCCCATCTTCCTCTACTTTATATGGGAAGCCGCCACAGCATGGCTTGACAAGTGGTGCGTTGCTGTGTGCCCGAGATCCGAACCTGCGAACCCTGGGCCACTGAAGCGGAGTGCGCACACTTAACCACTGTGCCACCAGGCCGGCCCCAACACTGCTTTCTTTTTAACAGGAGATTCACTAATGACTAAACTTAACCTGGGATTTTACTTTTCCTATATGCTTGGGTCTTCCTAAAATGCCTTAAAATCATGAGAGAGGTAAAACTAGGTTATGACAAAAATCTTTTGTTTCTATCAGTTCATTTCTTGGAACAATGTCCTAAATAAGCCTATTTAAGCACAAGTCGGTATTTCAATTTATTTTAAGAAGATTCTTCTGAAAAATTTAAGGATCAATTAGAAAATATGGCTTTTCAAAAATCCTTTTTCTTTAGTCAGTAGCATTGAAAGGCAAGCTCAAATTGAATTCCAGATGGGCACTTGAAACTTGATCCCTCAAAGTGTGCTGGTAACACTGCGAAGAGCAAGTGTGGGCTGCTGCTGGGGAAGAGAGCGTCTCTGCTTTCATATGATGCGATTGGCCTGGGGACCTCGGAGCTCTCATCTAAATGAAACAGTCAAAGAATGGTGCTGTCTAATTAACAGAAATTTCTGCTTTGACAGGATTGAATGGAAAATTCCTTTTGTTTCAAAATTTTGAATGTTTTAAAAATTAATTCTCTATCTAGAGATAAACAGAAATAAATTTCTATTTGAGGATCTGGCTACTCCTCAGGTAATCATTTTAAATCCGTACATTCTCAAAGGACGGTGTTGTTGATGTAGAAGGTTTATGTGAATTGACTCAACATATCCCCTAGAAGAAATATATAATAGGTTGAATTGTGTTCCCCCGCAAAATACGTTGAAGTCCTAAGCCCAGCACCTCAGAATATGACCTTATTTGGAAATAGAGTCATTGCAGATGTAATTAGCTAAGATGAGGTCATACTGGAGTAGGGTGGTCCTTTCATCCAATGTGACTGGTGTCCTTATAAAAGGAGAAAAGACACAGACACACACAGGGTGAATGCCATATAAAGGAGGCAGAGATTGGAGTCATGCATCTACAAGCTAAGGAATGCTAAGGATTGCTGGCATTACCAAAAGCCAGGAATGAGGTCAGAAACAGATCCCTCTCTCACAGCCTTCAGAAGGAACCAACCAAACTAACAACTTGATTTCGGACTTTTAGCCTCCAGAACTGTGAGAGAGTAAATTTCTGTGGTTTTAAGCCACACAGTTTGTGGCAGTCTGTTATGGCAGCACTAGGAAACTAACACAAAATATTTTTTAAAAGGGTCAGTTCCTACAGTACTTTTCTACTGGTAATAGCAAGAGCATGATAGGGAATGGATATGAGGGATGTGGAGTTGGGAGGGGGCAGAGTGCCCCTGGTTCACTGCAGCCAAGATTACACTCCTAAAAGACTCTTGGGATCATCTCATGTCCCTCCCCTTCCTCCCCAGAAGCCTCTATAAGATAAATTTCACACACTTGACATTATTGAACCTGTGATCATAATCATCACATTTTCCCTATAGCTTCCTATAGTATTCACGCTTGGGTACAGGATGCCTAACCACACCTTTTGACTCATCAGTTAGTTGAGTCCCTATACCATTTCTTCATATGCCACACTGAAAATGTCAGGTTGAAGGATATATATCATGACCAAATTATACACAGATACAGTAGATATAGCCAGAGAATACTATGTAGGGGGTTAATAATTAGAGAAGAAAGGAAATTATTTGTTTTCTCACCATTCTTCTCGAAGAGGGTGATTTTTGTACTACCTTTGAAGTCTTGGGGCTTGTAACCTAAATAAAACACATTTACTCTTTAGGATTAATGTTGGGAAAACAAGCATATGCTGCTGTTAAAAGTGTTAAAACTGGTACAGCCTTTATGGAAAACATTTTGGCAATATTTATCAAATCATAAAATTTATATGCACTTTGACCCAATAATTCCACATCCATAAATTTATCCTACAAATATACTTTCTTTGTGAGAAATGACACATATACAAGTTTACTCACTGGTGAATGAATAAATTTTAATAGCAAAATATTGCATACAATCTATTCAACAATACGGAAAAGCTTAAATAAGTTATGGTGAGTCTACAGAATATCAGGCAAAAGAAGCAAAGAAGAAGCCTTTGTGGGGCTGGCCTGGTGGCACAGTGGTTAAGTTCACACGCTCCACTTTGGTGGCCCAGGTTTCGCAGGTTCAGATCCTGGGTGCGGACCAACGCATCGCTTATCAAGCCATGCTGTGGCAGGCATCCCACATATAAAGTGGAGGAAGACGGGCACGGATGTTAGCCCAGGGCCAGTCTTCCTCAGCAAAAAGAGGAGGATTGGCAACAGATGTTAGCTCAGGGCTAATCTTCCTCACAAAAAAAAAAGAAGGCTTTGCGGACTGCTATGGAATAATCCCCACGATTTCATAAGTCAGTACAGCAAGATGCAGAACAGTTTCATGTGTGTTACCATTCATGTCAAAAAGGGGGAAGAACATATGTTCATATTTGCTGGTATGTGCACAGTGCCTCTCTGGAAGTATATGCACCTACATGTTCCTGCGCACGCACACCCTGTCATGGTGACATTATTTGTCTCCAGGGATGGAAGTCAGAGGTGCGCAATTTTTATTCTATAGTTTTTCCCTTTCCTACCTTTTGAATTTTGTAATCTATTAATGAACTGTCTATTCCAATCAAAGTTAAAAACTTGGCATAGTACAATAGGTCTGAAGAAAGACCCTGTCTTCACCTATAAGTGCTTGCTTCCATGGTACTTATAACCTTTAAACTCTACTTGGTTCTGTTTACAACGAAACCATTAAAATAACTCACATTCAGATAGCATCAGACAGTTTATACAGTGCTTTATACTCACAATATGTAAGCTGATGCTAATGACAACTCTATGAAATAGATATCATTACTTTTCCCCAAAATTTATAATATAAGGAAATTGAGGCTCAGAGAAAGACTTTAATTCACACAGTCTCACACAGCTAGCAGCAGGCAAAGCCTGACCCGACCTTGACTTCAGCTCCACAGATATCATACTTACGCCATTAAAATTTTCCAGAGTGAAATGGCAGAGAAAGGACTCCAAAAGTCTGTCCCTCCATAAAAGCAATGAATAAACTGTCAAAAACTGTCAGTATCAACTTTTTCAGAACTCTGGACACTAACCCAAAAGTTGCAACCAGTGTTTAAGAAAAATAGCTGAATCTTGATAAGAACAGTGAACTTGGTGGCATTTTAATTTACATTTTTCCCATCTCAGTTCCCTAGTTCAGTGATAGCCTTGAAAATAACAGCCTGCATTCCTGATACAGGTACTGGAGGGAGCAGAATGGACTTCATTCACAAAGAATTCTAATTATTTATTCTGACCTATCTGGTGGCTCCCTGATGACTGGCTCTTTTGGCTCACCTTTATCTTGCCTAACTTGGAACTTGACCAGTGCAAAAGTGGTATAATGTTGAAAACATTTACAGGCAAATGTTTTAATCACTGCTGCCTGATGCAGTGGATAAGGGTTGGGGGAAATCACAGATTAACTAAAAAGCTTGGGAGGCAAGCCTAGAGCTTGAGATGCTTTCGGGAATAAGGTCTTTGAAAAGTTCCAACATATTCTGGAGAATCCAGAAGGCCATGTGCATGCCCAGGGCTATGCACATATTCAGGAAAGACCTGAAAAAGAACTTAAGCTCTCACCTCTGGCTGACCTTCGGGCTCTGCCCAAGCAGGAAGTGAAGGCTCAGGCAGAGCTGTAAACTGCCTGGCTGAAATGTTGAAGGTGTGTCCCAACAAACACACAGAGTTCATCTGCAAAGACTGGGAGACTTTTTTGGTTCCAGGTGTTTAAGAAAATCTCTGTGAAAACATTAGCTAACCACTAAGCAAATGGAACAGAGACTTCAGTAGCCACACAAAACAAAGAATACAGACTACAAAATTAGTTCAGCAGAAAACTCACTAAAAAAATGAACCACAGCCACATCAAGCAGCAAGTACAAACCCTGGGGAGGGGAAAAAATCTTATGTCCAAAGTTTCCACATTATGACATTCAAATGGCCATTATTCAATAAAAAATTATGGGGCAGGTAAAAAATGGCAAGAAAATATGGTCCATACACAGGAAAAAGAAGTAGTTTCAAAAGAAACTCTTTAAGGAAGCATAGACATTGGACTTACTAGAAAAAGCCTTCAAATCAGCTATTATTTAAATATGTTCAAAGAACTAATAGAAAGCATGTCTAAAGAACTAAAGAACACCATGAGACTGATATCTCATTAAATAGAGAATATCAATAAAGAGATATAAGTTATAAAAGGCACCAAATAGAAAGTCTGGAGCTGAAAAGTCAAACTGAAATAAAAAATCCACTAGAGGGGTTCAACAGCAGACGTCAGGAGGTAGAAGGAAAAAGCAGGAAATTTGAAGATAGGTCAGTTGAGATTATCCAGTATGAGGAACAGGAAGAAAAAAGAGTGAAGAAAAATGAACAGACCCTAAGAGGAACTGTGGAACCACATCAAGTGCACCAACATATACATGATGAGAGTTCCAGAAGGAGAGGAGAGAAAGGGACAGAAAGAATATTTGAAGTAACAATGGCTGAAAACTCCCCAAATTTCCTGAAACACATTGATCTATCTATCCAAAAAGCTCAACAAACTCCAAATAGGATAAACTCAAAAGAGATCCAGACCAAGAAACATCATAATCAAACTATCAAAAGACAGACACAAAGAGAGAATTTTGAAAACAGCAAGAGAAAAAGCAACTCATCAGGTACAAGAGAGCCTCAGTAAGATTAACAGCTCATTTTCTAGCAGAAACCATAGAAGCAGGAAGACAGATGACATGTTCAAAGTACTGAAAGAAAAAAAGTGACAACCAAAATTCTACCTGCCAAAATAGTCCTTAAAAAATGGAGGTGAAATTAAGACATTCTCAGATAAGCAAAAGCTGACAGAGTTCACTTCTAGCAAAATTGCCCTACAACAAATGCTAAAGAGAGTCCTTCAGGCTGAAATGAAAGGACACTACACAGTAGTTCAACTCCATATGAAGAAATAAAGAATACCAGTAAAGGTTACTACTACATAGGTAAATATAAAAGACAGTATTAATGTATTTTTTTTGTTTATAACTCCACTCTTCCCCAATCTGACTTAAAAGACAAGTGCATAAAGCAATAATTATAAATATGTTGATGGGCACACAATTTATAAAGCCATAATTTGTGGCAATAACAGCATAAACTGGGGGGAGGCAGATGTATATAGGTAGGAAGTTTTTATATCCTGTTGAAATTAAGGTGGTATTAATATGAACTAGATTGTTATAAATTAACATGTTACTTATAGTCCCCAAGGCAACCACTAAGGAGATAATTCAAAAATATATAGTAAAAGAAACAATAAAAGAATTAAAGTGGTACTTTAGAAAATACTTATGAAGGGAGTAATGGAGGAATTAAGAAACTAGGACATATAGCAAAAAAAAGGAAAGAACTGAAGGGAGAAATAGTTCTACAATTGTTGGAGACTTCGATACTTCACTTTCAATAATGGATAGAAGAACTAGATAAGATCAGAAAGGAAAAACAACACTGTAAACCAACTAGACCTAACAGACATCTATAGAAAACTCCACCTAACAACACCAGAATCCATTCTTCTTAAGTACACATAGAACATTGTCCAGAATAGACAATATATTAGACCTCAAAACAAGTCTCAGTGAATTTTAAAATATTAAAATAATACAAAATATGTTCTCTAACCACAATGGAATGAAATTAGACATCAGTAACAGAAGGAAATCTGGAAAATTCACAAATATGTGGAAATTAAATAACATACTCGTAAATAACCAATGGGTCAAAGGTCAAAGGGAAATTAGAAAATACTTTCAGATGAACAAAAATGAAACACAATGTACCAAAACTTATGGGATGGAGCAAAAGTAGTGCCCAGAGGAAAATTTATAGATGTAAATGCCTACGTTAAAAAAGACAGATCTCAAATTAATAACCTAACCTTCCACCTTAAGAAACTAAAAATGGCCGGCTAAACTCAAAACAAGCATAAGGACGGAAATAATAAAGACTAGAGTTTTAATAAGGACTAGAGAATTAAAAACAATAGATAAAATCAATGAAACAAAAGCTGGCTCTTCAAAAGGAACAAAATAGACAAACCTTTAGTTAGACTGATCAAGAAAAGAGAGAAGATTCAAATTATTAATCAGGAATATAAATGGGGATATTCCTACCAACCTTACAGAAATAAAAAGAATTATAAGAGAATACTGAAGCTCCTTGACTTACAATGAGGTTACACCCTGATAAATCCATCATAAGTCGAAAACATCATAAGTTGAAAATGCATTTAAGACAACTAACCTACTGAACATCACAGCTTAGCCTAGCCTACCTTAAATGCACTCAGAAGACTTATATTAGCTTACAATTGGGCAAAATCATCTAACACAAAGCCTATTTTATAATAAAGTGTTGAATATCTCATGTAATTTACTGAATACTGCACTGAAAGTGAAAAACAGAATGGTTGTATGGGTATTCATCCAAAAAACATTGGCAACACAGTACACTGTAGAGTTTCAGTTGTTCACCCTCATAATCACCTGGCTGACTGGGAGCTGTGGCTTGCTGCCGCTGCCCAGCATCATGAGAGAGTATCATATCGCATATTGCTAGCCCAGGAAAAGATTAAAATTCAAAATTTGAAGTATGGTTTCTACTGAATGCATGTTTTTTTCTCA